TCCTCTCCTGTAGACCCATTCATTTGCCGTTGGCATACAGAAATTAAAGAAATTTTACTTCATGATATCAAAATTAAGAATCGTGCCTAAAAACAGAAGGAAAGGAGGACGAGAAGGAGGAAGAGGAGGAGGAGGAGAAAGAGGAGGAGGAAGAAATGTACCAAGAAAGTGTGAGGCCAGGCTGGAGAAGGACACAGGAGTGTGCTGGGAATGGGGAAGTCAAGTGGCAAAAACCAAATATTCTTGGCTCTGGTAAAAACCTACTCTGTTCATTTTCCCGGATGCCCAAAACAAAAGCAACTGCCCATTTCTCTGTTTCAGTCTCCTGAATCTAGCTGGATCACAGACTGGCATCCATTGTCCCTGGTTCACAGAACAATATCCACTAGCATAAATCCATCCATTCTGGTAGACATCCAAAGAGTCAGAAAAGAATACAAGAACACAAGACTGTCCGTCCACACCCACTGACCCAGCACCGTGGTGCAGCCGTCATGGGCAGACCTGCAGACAGGAGGCAGCCAGTACCTCTGCGCTGATGCAGGCTCCATCCAGCTGGTCCAGAAACACACCACCCAGCGCGTCAATACACCGAGCACCACGCTAGGTGTGTCCCCTAACATTTGACACGGCTTCACAGAGGCTGCAGTCACGGAGTGGCCAGTGGGGCCCCTAGAAACCTTCCAGGACACTGATAAACTGTGAAGCACAGAGGCCAAAGCCGTGAGCAATGGGGAGCTGAGCTGGGCTTCTCAATCCTAGCCTCAGGACCATCTTTCCCTTGCGTTTTGGGCACGCCTCGGAGGCTGGCAGCTGCTAACTTATGGGGGGGAAAAGTGCATGGTGGAGGAGGTAAAAGGATTATTTTTAAGAAAGAGCACAATCTAACTTTTCTCTCCACCACCCACTCCGCGCCACCTCCTCTTTCCCTTGTCTCTCCTCCTGCCTGTTCTTCCACTTCACTTGCTCCACAGCCTTGCTCTCCCTGTTGCTCGGTGCGGCACAATCACACACACACACACACACACACACACACACACACACACACACACACACTTCTTTCCTGTATCCCCAGCTGGGACACCAGTTCTGATACCACGCTGGTAAGAGGAGCCAGGTAACGACATGGGGCTCCTGCGCTGGGAAAGGGGAGGGATTTGAAGCTAGCTAGCTTTATCCTTACGGCTCCAGATCTGTAAAGATCAAACACATACCAGCTTTTCAGAAACCCCGTCTTGATGCCAGAGGTGGTGGAAGAGAGGAGACGCATCTCTATGCAAAGCTAAACGAACCTGTTGACTATGTCACCTTCCCAATGTGCCTAAATACTGAAGAGACTTTGGTTGATTCACTTTCAAACTGATTCTGAATATTCCCTTCTGGGCAGTGGCTTCTAAGGAGAGTTGCCTGACTTCTGTGTGCAGTGATGAGCCCCTGTAAGTATCCATGATGAATGTATGTACCCTATGGATCAATTTCTTCCCTTCACCTACAGCCAACAGGCAAGACTACATACTTGGGAGTCATCTACCCAGAACAAAATACCATTTTGGAAATAGCTGAAATAATGAGGCATTTTTCCAAAGTAGAAGAATTAGAAGTCAGGGTGAAATTGCACATGGAGGTGGAGGGAAGCAAGACACAGAGATGATGTGTTAGGACAGGATGCAAGAAAATCGGCTAGATTTTCACTTAGAATGTGGGAGAGATTTCAAACACAAAAAGCAATGCTTGTGTTCTTCCTCATTAGTAATCCAATCATTTAAATATTCTTCAGTGAACAGGTATTAAATATTCTTTGGATCTGGCACAGCTCTAGGGAGTCACAGCAAATGAGCAAGACACACTGCACCCTTGCTTGCAGTCATGGAACTTACAATGTAGCATCCACTCAAAACAAAACTGTTCACTCAAGAAACTTGTTAGTTGAAACGTGTATCATGAAGAAGACAAATAGGGGCAGATGAACCCTAACATTGAGGAAGCAGTGTTAGAGGAGCCAGAAAAGTCTCTCTGAAGAGGCAGCATTTTAAGGAAGGAAGATAAAGGAAAAAGCCAATGGAGATAAGAACTACGGTATGGCCATTCCAGGAAGCTGGTATTGCACATGCAAAGGCTCTGGAGTAGGAAATAGCTTGGAAGCAAGGATCCATAACATCACAAAATAAAGTGAGGAAAGAGACAATAGCATAAGAGATAGAGAGACAATGACTGGATGGATGCTGTGGGCGGGAATGCACAGCTCGTATGCTGCTACAAGGTTAAAGGGAAACCATCAGCACAGGAGTGATGTATCCCAGCTCGTGTTTCACCGTAACCAATGCCGCCTTGAGTGGACAAAGACTTCAAAAGCAAAGCAAGACATGACAACGCCCTGGGCCAAACCAGAGCAGCCAAACTGAAAAGTGGACAGAGCCAGGCAGAGTTTAGATGTACACCAACAGAAGAAGGCACTGGAGAACTGCCTATGGAGGCGACAGCAGAGAAAGACCCAGAGATGGTTCTCGTCAAGTTACAATTTATCTGTGAGTTGCTTGGGGCTTTTTCCTCAAAATATACAGTTACTGTATGATTCCCAGGAAGCACACTTAGCATCTCATCTTCAGGACTTGACAAGTGCCCAGATGCAAAGAACTCAGAAGGCCTAGATTCAAGACCCGGCCACCCATGAGAGACAACAACAGAAGAAGAGGCAAGTATTCCATAGGTGCATTCTCTCATTAGAAAAAATGTTGGTACATTGGTACCAGCCTTTCTGTACTTGGATGCACCTGTGCTGAAGCAGAGACACTGATGACAATTTCCAAGAGGACCTTTGCATCAAACTGGATGACTAAAGCCAAAAATCTCATAACCAGCATGAGGAAAGGGGGTTAAAAAAATCCTCTGACTAGGCTTTAATTCATTTGTTGCTTGTCTGACATACACATGGTCCTCAATTCAGTCCACAGCGCCACATAAACCAGGGCAGGCCTGTAATCCTAGCTCCCCAGGACATAGAGACGGAAGAATCAGACGTTCAAGGTCATCTCTGGCTAAACAGCAAGCATGCTCAAAGCCAACTTGGGCTACAAGGGAAACTACACTCAATTAATTGGTCCATAGCATGTTTACAACATTTCCAAAACCTAGCTTAAGACACAAAACAGTGTGCCCAGGAAGAGACCTCTGAGGATTCACCCTCAGAACAAATTATATTGCTTATTTTGAATGCTATATTCAAACTGCTCCCCAGATGCCACAGAGAGCAACAGCATTCTATGACTAACACACATTTAACTAAGCCTCTTTCTGAGCTGCCCATTCCGAATTACCCGAGTGTTATTAGCACTGTTTGCATTGCCTTTCCAAAAAGCCAGTGCATCATTACCTCTAAATTGAATGAAACCTAAATGGTCTAGGTAAGTGCCCCTCTCTTTAGTATAGACACTCTTTGTTATTAACTAAAGAATAAGAGATGACTTCAAAAGAGGGAGAAAAGAGGAGGGGAGGGGAGGGGGAGAGGGAGAAAGGGAGAGGGAAGGTGGGCAATGGTGGGGAGGGGAGAGAAAAGGAATGGAGAGGAGAGAAGGAGAGGAGAGGGCATCTCCCACATGCTCAGCAGAGACCGTCTTTGATACGGGCTGGTGCCATGCCAAAATAGACAGTAAACAGAGAGAAACCACAGCAATCTATTTGGAGGGGGATATCTTCTTTTTTTTTCCTTCAAGCTGCTAGTCTTGCTTAACCCTTTTTATATGCATTTCAAGGACTTGGCTTAAAACGAATACTATTATTTTAGATGATCTATCGTGAAGAATCCTTTCAGAAGAAGTTCTCCTGGCATGGCAATGAAAAGAACACAGCTTCAGGCACCTGCTCTCTGCCCCTCCCTACATCTCACACTTCCTCTACCCCCTTCTCAGATCAGAAATCCATTTCCACATTCTCTGATACCTGGTATTAATTCCGTGGGCCATCTGTGTGGCTCCTCTGAAGAGTGGGGACTTTGCCTGGCTTCCTAAGCCACCTGCTTCGTCCCAGTGCCGAGCCTAGAAAAGACTCACATCACTACACTTCACACCCTCTTTAATTTAACGCTGTAAATTCACTTTTCAACACCCCTGAGCTGTTCGCTCTAATTTGGCCTGTCATCATCCGCAGTGACTGAACTTGATCTTTATCTGCGCCACCCATAATGCATTTTATTGCTGGGTCTGGGTTCCTGCAAGACACGAAGAATGCACAGTGCGCTCTGCCAGCATGAAGGCTATCACTACAGCAGTCGTCGTCTTCAGGAATCTTCCACGACCGGCATTTGTTTCCCCTGTACAGATTCACTCCCATTCCAAGCATAAGGTTCCCCATATATCAAAGAGTCTCCATACTCAACAAACACAGAGCAGCATAAACATAAGCCTAAACCCATGGTCTACTTGTCACTTGAGTCCAAGGGTGTTCTTTGATCTCCTGCCATTCCGTCTTCATGTTTTATACAATGCCTGAAATCTACAATGTTCAACCTTTTGAGAGCTGTATCACTCCACATTGCCTCTCGGATACTCCTTTTTAAAATCACTGACCTGGCCCACAATCCAGTTAAATGTCACCTGTGACTGTGACATTTGGAAGACGAACATATACATGCAGGCACCCTCACCTTAACATATTGTCTCGGTAGAACCTATTTCTAAGCACAAACAACCCAAAGAGCCTCTGACCCTTTGATTGCTGTAGTTAAATATAGTTTCATCTATGAAACTCTGTCCTACCTCACCTATCAGGATGTAGAAGTGCCGTTTGTGCCTACACTTGCTCATAGCTTTCTCCCATCAACTCAGAATCTTCCACAAGAGCTCTTAGATTAACTTATCAGCACAAGAAGCGTGTCTATAGGCATTGCCCATTAAACAGACCTCCCCAGGATTCCTAACTCCCTCCACACTGGCCACGAGATTCTGCAAAGCATCTTTCCAAGGATGAGTAAGGCAGAGAGAGTGGTGCTGAGCCAGAATACTCACTGAGAGGCTTGAGGATGCTGCTGCTGGACTCATCGGCATTTTCCACATCTGATTTGTCCGAGTAGTTCTCAGAGATTCTTTCCTTTTCCTTCTTTTCCTTGTGCCCTGCCTTTCTCTTGTGACGTCTCCTTCTCCGGTAGCTCTTGGGCACATGGACCCCAATGTAGATGGTGTGGTGGCCTGGGGAAAGTAGACAAGTCAACAGTCATTTCGCCTCATGATAGCTCTACACATAAACCACACAAGAACCACAAGCCAGGTAAGTAAGACATGATCATTCAGTATTTGGCTAACTCAAAGAACTGAATTCTTGAAAAATAGAATCCCTTTCCCAATTTCACTCAGCTACTGTTTAATTCCACCCATTGGCTGGCATTTGGTTCTGTCTCCACAGGGTTTAGGCCATAGGTTTAGGACAGTCAAAGATTACAAAACTAGAAATCAAGAGTTCTTGATTCTGTTCACACATCTGTTACGCGGTATCGACATCACCTTCATACTTTCATCGCACTTCTTTTGTTTGTTTGATTTTTGGTTTTGTGTATTGAGATGGGGTCCCATGTAGCCATGGCTGACCTTAACTTGATACGGAACAAAGGATGACCTTGAACTTCTGCTTCCAAGCTCTGGAATTGCAGGTATGCACCATCACGCCCTGTTTACTCTCTACTAGAACTCGGAGCTTCACATACGCTAGGCAAATACCGAACCAATGAGCTACATTACCAGCCCTTAACTCTTGGACCTCAGCCTTATTCTTTTATACCATCCAGGGCTTATGTTGAGCAATCCCTAGAGGTCCGCTCTGCTCTGGTTTTTCATGACCTGTGCTTATACTGACTAGAATGAGGGGCAAGAAGCCGCTGAGCTGCAAAAATAAAGATCAAAAGTTCAAAAAGTCATTCTGCTGGGGATAAGACCTTACACTGTAACTTTTTTTTTATCCAATCAGCAGAACAGAGACAGAGAACTGGGACAAACTGAGAAAAATAAGACAGACTTGGAGAGAAGATTTTAGAAGTACTCAAATGTTCACACTAGGAAACGCTAAAACGAATGTCAGCTACAGCGCCATTCTCTTTTTTCTTTTTTCGTTTCCAGAAGTTTCTAAAAACTGGTTGTTGGGATGATAAAAATAAGACTCATCCCAGCAAAAACTGCCTTGAAGAGAAGGGCAGGAGAAAAACAGATCTAACCGTTTCCAGGCCTCCAGAGGGAAGGCACATCGAAACTGACAAGCAGTATCATTTTACAAAACCTGATAAGATGGAAAAGGAACTCCAAGTTCCACATCTTTTTTTTTTTTAATTGAAAAACTTTTACTTTCACTTTAAGTATACAGTATAACTTCTGAATGTGGGAATCATCATTTCAGAAGTAATTTGAACACTCTTTTATTGCAAATTAGATTAGGTTATCTCATCTAAGTGTTTCATTTCCCATTTCTAGAATTATTCTTTGATGGTACTTTACAGTTCCAGAGATAATATCACATACCGCCATGTAACTCAGCCCCCTGAGTATCAATCGCTGTGAACCACTTTCCATGGAACTCACCAGGCACCCCTAAAAACACCATAATTCACGAGATTTTTCCTTAAATTGACAGCTTAAATGAATCATACGCTGCTTCGAGAAAAAAGACTCCAACTATGGAAGAAAGAACTCTCAGGGGCCGTGTGTGTCACAGAAAACTCCTGACACCTGGAAAAGAGTTGGAGCATCTTCACCCGAAGCAGAGCCCCCCCACCACCACCAACACGCAAAAACAGCAACTTGTTGCTACAAAGCACGGTGAACAATCTCCCCACAGAACGTGCGCCGATGAAAAATCAATCATGTCTAACCATTTGTGAGCTAACTGTTCTCATGGGAAAGCTCTATTATACTAGGAAACAGGAAATGTCTCAGAAACAATGTGAATTAAGAAATGGTGTCAATTGTTTCCTGTGCTCCCCTCAGTGAGGGAGCCTTGCAGGTTTATCTCAAGTCTCAACAATACAAGTCAGCAGAGTCTTACGGAAACACCTCACACACGCTCGCGCGCACGCGTGCGTGTGTGTGTGTGTGTGTGTGTGTGCGCGCGCACGCACAGTGGTTCAAAATTCTAAAATGTCACAGTAAATGTTTTCTGCACACTATTAAAAAAGAGCCACAAGAAAATGGTAATTAAGGTATATCAGCTGGGCCGACATGATGCAATAAGATTTACTAGATATATGAACTCAAGTCTGTGTAGTACATTTGATCAAGTCATTTAAAAGACTGACTCTATGGGCTGACAGGATTTAAAGGTAAGATTTCTGACTATGAGGTATTGTTTTCAAACTAATGAAAAGGTTACAGTGATTCAGACAGACAGCCTTCAAGCTCTGCAGAGAGGTGTCCCTTAGTTTGAGAACCTAGTTAAGCTCTGTCATAACCATAGACATGGTACCATTCTTCCCATTTGGAGACTGCAGCTCCGAACCTGTAGCACATCCAGCTTCCCTGCATCCCTCCAACTCCTCCTTCCCTGCTCTGCTCATAGGTAAATTGATGCTGCACTTCAGAGCCCTGTAGCACCTCTCTGGCCAAGAGGAAATGAGGGTTCCTTTAGCGACATCACAAACATCAGGCACGTTTATTAGTTAAGGTGTAATTTGCAAACTCTTCTTAAGACTATAATTCAATGATTTTATGTGGTGTTGTACAAACACCACCATTATCTAATTTTAGACCCTTTCTACCAATCCACAGAGATCTCTCAGGCCCATATGTAGCCTCGTTCAGTTCCCTCTACCATCCCATACACTCACTCTTAGGCATTCTGTATACTCTGGGTAATAGCATCTATGAAGCCATGATCCTCTAGGACTTACGTGGCTATGTATGAACGTTGTGGGGATCCTTACAACTGGTAAAATAGAATATTCCCAATGAGGAAGATGCTGCTTCCTCAGAAATGCCCAAGGAATCAAGTCCTTGGGCATCATCAGTATCAACATTCTCATCCTCCCATCTCTTATTGGAACCTAAATCCTTCCCTTTGGTCTCGTGCTTACATACAGAAAAAGAAATGTTAATATGAGTAAGGTGGGTCGCTGGGAGCTTGAAGACAGTGCTTGTCTTCATTAATTACTTATTCTCATTCTCTCTCTTTCTCTCTCTCTTTCTCTCTCTCTCTCTCTCTCTCTCGCTCTCTCTCGCTCTCTCTCGCTCTCTCTCGCTCTCTCTCGCTCTCTCTCGCTCTCTCTCTGTTTCAACTTCATTGCCCACAGAAGGAGGCAAACAAAATAGTTTTGTGTTGGAGGACCAGGTGAGGTGGGCATGCTTTTACACAGGGAAGACCAAATATTCAATAAATCATATTGTCAAGTAACCAAAACCCCAAACGTAACGTGAGCTGAGCTAGAAGTGTTCTCACTGCCCCCACAAAACTCCTGTCGACATGCTGAACAGAAATGGCATTACTGCTGGAAAGAGTCTATTGTTGGCGAGAACATCACAGATGGATATCAGTGTTTATTTTCATTAAAATATCTTTATCTGTCTCAGAGATTATGTCATGACGACTGTAAGCTCTCAGGGAAGCTACAAAGGTGGAGGGCGTAGCTATTGTTCTACATGTGAAAAGAAAAGAAGGAACTTGTCAGAAAAGCTTTCCGACCCAAGAACCTACAAAATAGTACAACACTTAAAAAAACATGGATCAGTTTTTTTATAATAATAATTTTTATGATAATAAATTATAGTAACTATTATAAGGAAATTTAGAGGCTCAAAAAACTTCTCTGCCATCAATTTCATAAAAATTGCTTCAAAGAATGATGGGGAAATAAAGAATAAAACTTTTAAATTTTGTCTTCATTTTAATTGAAGGCTTTAATTCAGAAAGAGGATACAATTGTTCATTATATTAAAATCAAGCATACATTTATTATGCTAGTCAGACCAACAAAGTAAAAGTACTGGAGGCCGCAGCTGACAGTGTTCACTTAGGTGTACAGTCATAGGGCATCATGTCTTCAGTCTGGCAGGAACCTCAGCATTTCACGTCTTCAAATAAATACCCTACATGCCTCTGTCTGACAGATGGTGGGAGTTCCCAACACATTCCAAGTGTCTCGGGAATACTTCACAATCCACACTACAGCCAGGACTTCTGGGAAGAAAACACAACTCTGCTGGCTACCTTTGAATGTCAGAATCATCACTACGAGTCTTGTTTCTTCCCATCTTAACCTCTTCCACCCTAATTACAAACAGGAAGCTCTGTGGAGCAGTCACCCCTGGGGTCTCCCAATTCCTGAGAAATGACTGGTCTAGCTGTAAACTTCTGATTATCGCTACTATGTTTTCAGGGCAGAGAGTCAACCTTTACACTTAGTAATTCTGTAGCCATTCAAGTTAAGATGGCTTTCACAGATACTACTTCGCTGGGATGATTCAGAAGTTGGAAGAATCAAACAATCTCTCAAGCCAGAAATCAAAAATTCACCAGCCAAATTAAAACGTCTATGGATGACTTGACAGTTAACAGCCTATATAACCATATGCAGGATGGAAGCATTAGCTCCTGCCTGGGAAACATGGTGCAGCATACATGTACAGATGCAGCAAACATTCACCAAAAACTTCCAAGCATGTTCACCGCGGCTGCACACTGCTCTAGGGCACTTTGTGATCCTGTGACTAACCTCAGATACAGGTGAGGAAACACAGTTTGAGAAGTCGATGATGCTGAAACCCATAAGCAAACGCCCTCTTCAGAAAAATCTCATGAGCAAAATCTCTCTCAGGCATCAATGTCAGCCTGAGCTGAGTGCCAGCTTTGATGGGATTTTTAAAAATATACCTCCATAGTGTTGAGACGAGGGCTTGTGCAGGAAGGCACAGCTACATGTGCCTATAACCACCCACTAAGGGGTAGCAGGGCCCATGGAAACAGGGTTATGGTGACTGCTGGTCAGTCGGCCTAGCTAAAGCCTGGCAAGCCCCAGGTTCAGGGAGAGGCCCTGTCTCAAGGGGATAATGTAGAAAGAAATCAAGCTAGACAGCAAACCTCCCCTCTGCCCTCTGTGCACAAATTTACTCACTCACTCTCTCTCTCTCACACACTCACACACTCACACACCACCACCACCACCACACACCACACATACACACATACAAAAGTAAATCACATGTGTATCCTGTAA